ATTTCTACGTACCTCTTGGTACATTAATTTATTCTGAATTGTTCAGCGCGGGCGTATCCAATAATGGTCTGGCGAGGAGTGAGCGGCGTGAGTAGATGTGTTGGTGCCCACGGTGGTTAGACGACCTCTTCGCAGGCACGAAGAATTCGCCCAATGTATAATGGTAAGCAAATAATAGCAATGTACCACACGCCAAGGCGTACTCCCTCTCGGCTTCCCATTGTTCAACACATACGAAACCTACTCATTGACTCAATACGGCCTTCAGCTGCTCGTCCGCCGCGGCCAGGTCGGCGTGCAGGTCGTGCTCCCAGATCCACAGGAAGCGCTGGCGGAAGTTGGCGACGATCTTGTCCATGTCGTCGCCGCACTCGGCGTGGTTGAACGAGTACAACTCGCCGGCCTCCTGGCTGGTGCGCACGACCTGCTGGGCGCGGGGGCGGCGGAGGCTGTCGTACACCGCAAACGCCCGGGCCAGGCCGGCCGCACTCGTGAGCTGGCCGAGAATGTGCGACAGCACGAGCGCGTCCTCGATGCACTGGCCGGCGCCCGCGGCCTGGTGCGGCGTCGTGGCGTGGGCGGCATCGCCCAGCAGACAAATGCGGTCGTTGCAATAGCTGGGCGTGGTCATGTGGTGGTGCAGCGACCACTGCAGCGGGTCGGCCCAGTCGAGCAGCCGGACGAGGCGCGGGTCGACGCCGCCGCCGCCGAAATCGGCCACCATCTGCTCCTTGGTGACACGCTTCGTCCACTGGTCGTGCGTCCAGGGCTGCCCGCGCGTAAACTTGAAGGCGACGAGGTTGCAGAAGGCGCCGCGCGAGATGGGGAACGTGATGAAGTTGACGTCCTTGCCCAGAAAGGACTCGGCGTCGCCGGCGTGGTGGCCCAGGATCTGCAGGGCGTCGGCCATGGGGACGATGGAGCGGTAGACGTACTTGCCGCTGTACGTGGCCTTGACTTCGTCAGGCCAGCGGTCGCCCAGCACGAAGCCGCGCGTCGGGCCCTTGGCGCCGTCGCTGCCCACGACGGCGTCGGCCTGGACAACGTCGCCGTCCTCAAAGACGACCGTGACCTTGCTCCCCGGGGCGCCCTGGTCAATCGACTTGACCCGCTTGTTGAACCGCACCGTCTCGGCCGGGATCATGCTCGTCAGGATGTTGAGCAGGTCCACGCGGTGGGCGCTCGTGCGGTCGTACGACGACGCGCCAAAGGGCGCGGGCACCCAGCCGCGGTCCTCGCCAAAGTTGGGCTCGGCGTACAGCGCGTCCATCATGACGTGGTCCTTGTTGGGCGTCAGGTTGCCCGACGAGATGTCGCTGTACATGGTGCGCAGCTTGGGGTCAATCATGTGCAGCGCGTTGAGCGCGTTGGGGCCGAGCCCGACACCGGCGCCGACGGTGCTGTACTTGGCCGCGGCCTCGTAGAGCGTGTACGAGACGTTCTTCTTGCGGCAGCCAATGGCAAAGGTCAAGCCGCCAATGCCGGCGCCGATGATGGCGATGTGGAAGGGCGGCGCGGACGGAGTAGCAGCAGCTGCGTCACCCTCGTTGGACGAGACCGAGTGGGGCATCTTGGGCGAGCTGTTGGTGGCTGTGTTGGTGGAAGGCTTGTCGGTTGTAGAGAGACAAGCAGATTTGGCGAGATGCTGAGGTTGTGTTTTCTGTGTCGACGGTGCAGGCTGTTCGGGCAGGTTTGATTCTTTTGATTTTTTGGATGTCGAAGACGAGGTAAAGATGGAGCGAAGAGATCCAGAGATTGAGGAAAAACACGAATGAGACATGGCAAGCTCTGGTCGGCAAGGCGGGAAGATATTGTTTATGTTTCTGATGCTTTGTTTGCTAATTGAGGGATCCAAGGTCAGTGGCTTCCGTGTCTCGTTGTGGTCGTGATTCTTCTGTCAACTGTCGTGATCTCGGAGACTGGGCGGTCCTCTATGTATTCATGTAAGGCAGAACATCCTTGCTCAGCAGCTCATTCCAAAGACGAGGCGACCAGATGCCAGGAGGCTGGATGCGTGGATGCGAAGCGGACATTCGCGAATGGCGCGTTTGTGGATTCACATGGTCCCAAGGTAATGGAGCGGCCAGTTCTCAGCCCGACGTCAAGACACAACTAACAGAAAGTAAACTGTAACACTCATCGGCAGAAAACGCAAGCACGTCGCAGTTGTCTGTGGTGGTTGTGGATCCGGGCTGCATACAAGCCGCTTCTCTCGCTTGTTTACATGCCGCAGAACTAACACGGCGGGGAAACACCTTCGATATCTGCAGGGTTGCATTGTTGTCTTTGTGCTTCTGTCATTGTGTTATTCGTCTCTTGAATCTGCTTCTGTTGCGAACGCTTTCCATCCTTGCGTCATTGTGTCCTTCAACCTCTCGAAAGTCGGAGTCCATAAGTCGGATTTCATGACCACCGCCCTCCGCGCTTGAATTCAAGTCAAGCAAAATTCAACAAAGCAAATCTCGCCCAGCGTATCAAAACTGATCCAGACTCGACTTGCCAGCTCACCAACTCACATCTCATCTTCGGTACTTTTTGCCCACAATAAAACACAACACAGCCTCAAAATGGCCGCTCGTGCTGGTCGCAAGCTGGTCGTCGACGTCCACAGCCATCTCTACCCGACGGCATACATTGACCTGCTCAAGAAGCGCTCCGAAATTCCCTACGTGCGGCCCTTCCCGCCCACCAACCAGCTCTGTCTGTGCAACCGGCCGCCGCAAAACACCAGCAAGACGGGCGCCGACGCCGCCGATGCCGCAGCCGCGTCCAAAGTTCCGCCAGGCCGCATCCTGCACCCGCACTACTATGACGTCGACGAGAAGCTCGCGTTCATGGACCACCACCAGATCGACATTTCCGTCCTGTCTCTGGGGAACCCCTGGCTGGACTTTTTGCCTGCCGACACGGCCGCCGCCGTCGCCGTCGAGATCAACGACGCCACCAATGCGATCTGCTTGCCGCACGCCGACCGCCTCTTCTTTTTCGGCGCGCTCCCCCTGAGCGGCGGCGAGTCTGCCATCCTCGGCGAGATTGACCGCCTCGGCACCCTCCCGCAGGCCCGCGGCGTTGTCATGGGCACGGGCGGCCTGGGCGACGGCCTCGACGACCCCGCGTTGATTCCGGTGTACCGCGCCCTGGCCGACGCGAACTTGCCCATCTTCCTGCACCCCAACTACGGCCTGCCGGCCCCCGTGTGGGGCCGCCGCGGCGGCGACTACGGCCAGGTTCTGCCGCTGGCGCTCGGCTTCCCCATGGAGACCACCATCGCGCTGACGCGCCTGTTTCTGTCGGGCGCATTTGACGCCGTGCCCGCGCTCCAGGTGATTGTCGCCCACAGCGGCGGCTGCCTGCCCTTTCTGGCCGGCCGCGTCGAGGCCTGCGTCGAGCACGACAAGGCGTGGGCGGCCGCGGGCAAGCTGGCGGCGGGCCGCACGACGCTGTGGCACGCGCTGCGCAACAACATCTACCTCGACGGCGTCATATTCGACAAGATCGGCCTGCGCGCGGCCGTCGAGGCCAGCGGCGTCGACCGCGTCCTGTTTGGCACCGACCACCCCTTTTTCGCGCCGCTCGACATCCACGCCCAGACCTTCCCGGCCATGACGCTGAACCGGGACGCTGCGCGCGGTGTGTTTCCCGAGGGCGACGCGGCGGCAGCCAAAGACGCCGACGGCAACGACGGATACGATCTGGTGATGGGCGAGAATGCAGTGCGTGTCCTCAAGTTGCGGTAGTATACGCAGTGGTGACGGCGTAAGAAGATACCTGGGCGCATGTAGAATAAGAGTCAATGGTGTATTTACCGTATCGTGTGTTGCGGTGCGCAGATGCTTTGTTGTCTACCTTCATAGACCTAATCTCGTTGTTTCCGTGACTCGGATAGAAAATACACGTGATGTTGTTTGTTGTTGACTTGTCGTTCTTGCCGTGCGGCGCGTGAGTGCCCCTGAGTGACGACTATTTTCATAGCTGTCTCTGTCTCCACGTCATCCTCACAGAAACTTCGCTCCTACAACATTCTCACGTCATCGAGCACCGACACATCCATCACGCGTAGTGTCGTGGCTATTCTCCAACGGAAGCTATCAAACAGCAACCTGGTGTCGTCCTAGTCGATCAATGCCTCGTCGGATGGCAGCATGCAGGCCGTGGTGAGAATGATAAGTAAGTGAGGGAGTTGGAGAACAACCATCAGCTGCGGAGAAAATCAACTAACTTACCTGTCACATCAGAACGACGGAAAGTCGCACTAATATCTGCTGATCCGGCCGCGGGTTAGCTGCTTCCCGCGACTTACACAGCAGTCCACCAGTTTATGGCACTAGAAGTATCGGTCCACGAATCTGGCAACAAAAGCCCACCAAAAACAACCCAAAAGCACGCCAACATGTACCACGAGAGTCGAGACCAACAACCACGACAGTTATCGCCATCGCGGGCTTTGGGTGTTGCCCGCGCGGCTAGGTGCACCCGGTCAAGATAACATGGCCGCCAAATATGGCGTAGGCTATACCGTTGGATCCCAGGACACCCAAGTCTTTGGCCTTTCAGAGATCCCCAGTACGTGATGGCAGCACCAACGTCCTCGACCAGCTCGATCCTGGACTTGGACAGCCCGCAGAAAAGTGGACTCGGGAACCCTCGCCGACGGGCTGCCATCGGACGTCGACGGCGGGGGAAGTGTCTCTGCAGACGTCGTACTGTGCATCGTGAGGGGAGCTTTGTTTGTCCATGAGATTCCCGTTGGAGACAACTGCATCAGTTCGTATTTATACAGACAACACAGCAGACGAAGTCACAAACTGTATCCAAGTCGGCCGAATCAGGAAACGCAGGACACTCTTACATATTGAGGACAACATCTTGGTGAACTCTGCTTCCCCATTGCCCATACTTCATGCAGTATTCTTTTTTTGATACCCTATCCCCTTGTCCTAACTTTCTCTTCTCTTGTGTTATATTCTCTCTCGTTGTCTCCATTCCACACTCCCCCCATCATGAAAGGCATCCAGATCGCCATCGACCGTGGTGGCACCTTCACCGACGTTCACGCGATCGTGCCTGGCCGTCCCGACGACATCGTGATCAAGCTTCTGTCCGTCGACCCCCAGAACTATCCCGATGCGCCCACAGAAGGCATCCGCCGCGTCCTGGAGCAGGCCCTCGGCCAGCCCGTGCCCCGCGGCCAGCCCATCGACGTCTCGGCCGTCGCCAGCATCCGCATGGGCACGACCGTGGCCACCAACGCCCTGCTCGAGCGCAAGGGCGAGCGCTCGGCGCTGCTCATCACCAAGGGTTTCCGCGACCTGCTGGTCATTGGCAACCAGGCCCGCCCAGACATCTTTGACCTCACCGTCGCCAAGCCCGGCGTCCTCTACGAGAAGGTCGTCGAGATCGACGAGCGCGTCACCCTCGAGGGCTTCACCGAGGACCCCGAGAAGACGGTCATCGACCCGGCCAGCGACCCGGCCCTCGTCGTCGGCCTGTCCAAAGAAGTCGTCCGCGTCATGACCAAGCCCGACCTCGCCGCCGTGCGCACCGTCATCCAGGGGCTGTACGACGAAGGTTTCCGCAGTCTCAGTGTCTGCTTCATGCACAGCTACACCTTCCCGGACCACGAGCTGGCCGTCGCCCGCATCGCCGAGGACATGGGCATGAGCGTGTCCGTCAGCTCGCTGCTGCAGCCCATGATCAAGATGGTGCCGCGCGGCCAGTCGGCCACGGCCGACGCCTACCTGACGCCGCTCATCAAGAAGTACCTCGACAGCTTCCGCCGCGGCTTTGTCGGCGAGCTCGAGGACGCCTCCACCACGCGCTGCGATGTTATGCAGAGCGACGGCGGCCTCGTCAGCTTCCGCAAGTTCTCCGGCCTGCGTGCCATTCTGTCTGGCCCGGCCGGTGGCGTCGTCGGCTATGCGCAGACGTCCTACGACCCCAGGTCGGCCAAGCCCATCATCGGTTTCGACATGGGCGGCACATCGACAGGTGCGTCTGTTTCTGACATGTGTTTTTTTTTTGTTTTTTTGTTTTTTTCAATTCACACATACTAATGCCATATGTAGACGTTTCTCGGTATGCTGGCTCGTACGAACACATCTTCGAGACCACCACAGCCGGCATCGCTCTCCAAACGCCCCAGCTCGACATCAACACCGTCGCTGCCGGCGGGGGCTCGCGTCTCTTCTGGTCCAACGGCCTCTTCAAGGTCGGCCCCGAGAGCGCTGGTGCCCACCCAGGTCCCGCCTGCTACCGCAAAGGCGGCCCCCTCACCGTGACCGACGCCAACCTGTTCCTGGGCCGCCTGGTCCCCGAATACTTCCCCAAGATCTTTGGCAAGAATGAGGACCAGCCGCTGGACGTCGAGGTCACACGAACCCTCTTCGAGGAGATGAAGGCCGAGGTCAACAGCGGCCTGCCCGTGGGCACTGCGAAGCTGACGGCCGAGGAGGTCGCCCTGGGCTTCCTGCGCGTTGCCAACGAGAGCATGTGCCGTCCCATCCGCACGCTCACGGAGGCCCGCGGCCACGACGCCGCCCACCACGACCTGGCCGTCTTTGGCGGTGCCGGCGGCCAGCACGCCTGCTCGATTGCCGCGGCCCTGGGCATCCGCCGCGTCGTGCTACACCGCTTCAGCTCCATCCTGTCTGCCTACGGCATGGCCCTCGCTGACATTGTTGCCGATGTGCAGGCGCCGCTGGCCTGTGTGTTCAGCGAGGATAACCTGCCGCAGATCAAGGCGACGGCGGCCGAGCTGCGCGTCAAGGCCGAGGCCGAGCTGCTCGACCAGGGCCTCGCCGTCAACGACACCCGCGCCGAGTACGAGCTGTTCCTGCACATGCACTACGAGGGCTCCGACACGCTCATCATGATCCCGCAGGCGGCCGGCGCCGACCACGAGTGGGCCTTTGCCGACACGTTCATCGAGCGCCACCGCCAGGAGTTTGGCTTCACCATGCCGCGCGACGTCTTTGTCGGCGACGTGCGCATCCGCGCCGTCGGCAAGAGCAGCGCCGGTGCGAGCGCCACCGTCGCCGCCCAGGAGATGGAGCGCGTCGCGCGCGGACCGGCCTCGGCCTCGGCCGTCCAGATGGCCAAGCCGGTCTACTTTGAGGGCGGCCTCGGCTGGAAGCAGACCCCCGTGTATCTCTTGACCTCCCTCCGGGAGGGCGAGCAGGTCGCCGGCCCGGCCATGATCATCGACAACACGCAGACCATTGTCGTTGCGCCCAACGCCGTGGCGACCGCTCTGGCCGAGCACGTCGTCGTGGACATTGACGTCGCCGGCACGCGTCAGCAGGGCCCGGCTGCCGCGGGTGGCCCCGTCCTGGACCCTGTGCAACTGTCTGTGTTCGGCCACCGCTTCATGGGCATCGCCGAGCAGATGGGCCGCACGCTGCAGAAGACCAGTGTCAGCACCAACATCAAGGAGCGCCTCGACTTTTCGTGCGCCCTCTTCTCCGAGGACGGCAAGCTTGTCGCCAACGCGCCGCACGTCCCCGTGCATCTCGGCAGCATGCAGTATGCCGTGCTGTGGCAACACGAGCACTGGAAGGGCCAGCTCAAGGAGGGCGACGTGCTCGTGTCCAACCACCCAAGTAGGTTCCCTGCTCCCTGTTCCTTGTTCCCACCCTCGGCTTCCGTCCCCCCTGTTGGTTTTGTCTTTCGACTAACAGGTTAGTCTGTGGCGGTACGCACCTGCCCGACATCACGGTCATCACGCCATTCTTCGAGAACGGCAAGATTGTCTTTTACGTTGCCTCGCGCGGCCACCACGCCGACATTGGTGGCATCTCGGCCGGCTCGCTGCCGCCCAACTCCACGGAGCTGTGGCAGGAGGGCGCCGCCATTGAGTCCGTCAAGCTCGTCGAGGGCGGCGCTTTCAACGAGGCGGCCATGCGCGAACACCTGCTGGTGCGCCCTGCCCAGTACCCCGGCTGCAGCGGCGCGCGCAACCTGTCCGACAACCTCGCGGATCTGCGCGCCCAGACGGGCGCCAACCAAAAGGGCATCCACCTCATAGGGCAGCTCGTCAAGGAGTACGGCTTGGAGACGGTGCTGTTCTACATGCGCGCCATCCAGGACAACGCCGAGATCGCCGTCCGCCGGCTGCTCAAGGAGACGTTCACGCGCTTCGGCGGCCGGCCGATGGAGGCAACCGAGTTCATGGACGACGGCAGCCCCATCAAGCTCAAGATCACCATTGACGGCGACGCCGGCACCGCCGACTTTGACTTTACCGGCACCGGCCCCGAGGTCTACGGCAGCACCAACGCCCCGACCTCCGTCACCTACTCGGCCATCATCTACGTGCTCCGCTGCCTGGTCAAGGAGGACATCCCGCTCAACCAGGGCTGCCTGACCCCCATCAACGTCATCATGCCCCCGCGCACCATCTTGTCGCCCAGCGCCGAGGCCGCGGTCGTCGGCGGCAATTGCGTCACCTCGCAGCGCGTCACCGACGTCATCCTGCGCTGCTTCGACGTCTGCGCGGCCAGCCAGGGCTGCCTCAACAACCTGACGTTTGGCAAGAGCTCACGCCTCGACGCCGACACCGGCACGTACACGCCTGGCTACGGCTACTACGAGACCATTGCCGGCGGCGCCGGTGCGGGTCCTGGCTGGCACGGCACCGACGGCGTCCACGTGCACATGACCAACACCCGCATCACGGACGCCGAGATCTTTGAGCGCCGCTACCCCTGCCTGGTGCGCGAGTTCAGCCTGCGCCAGGGCAGTGGCGGCGCCGGCGCCTTCCGCGGCGGCGAGGGCTGTGTCCGCGACATTGAGTTCCGCCAGCCGCTGTCGGCCGCCATCCTTTCGGACCGCCGCGTGCACCCGCCCTACGGCATGCGCGGCGGCCAGCCCGGCGCCGTCGGCGTCAACCTCTTTATCAAGACAATGCCCAACGGCGAGGACCGCGTCATCAACCTGGGCCCCAAGAACTCGATCCAGGCGGCGGTGGGCGACCGCATGGTCATCTTGACGCCCGGCGGCGGCGGCTGGGGCCACGCGGCCGACGCTGCAAACCCGGGTGGTGCCGGGTACAGCAACGGCGGCAGCAACGTGGTCGCCGGGGGTGGTGCGCCGTTTGTGCGCGGCACGGGCAGTGTGGCGGCCTTCCAGTCGATGCAGAACAGCAACTAGAGTGGATGGACTGCGGGGGTTGCTCTTTTTTACTTTAAAGCGCCAGATTGGAATTGGTTTTCTGTTCTGCTTTTTCCACAGTTGCCGACATAAATAAATGGTCGACTTTACTTAACCTTATGAAGAAGAACAGAGTTTATGACGAGCGACTACAACATGAGTTTGCTAACATTGTCAAAGTTCTTCACAGTAGATGTCGTCGTATGTGTTGGCATATTTGCTATTCAGTTGTGTAAACAGATGGCGATGAGTAGATGGTACATGTTCAAGCACATAAATTGTACCAAACGTTATGTACTGTCGAGAATGTAACGCACTGTCGCCGTCTAAAACATGTCACGTGTTACGTCATTCGCAAGTGGAGCCTCGACAACAGCGGGGCACTCTGCTGCGCGAATGTGGCTTGGAGCAACCGCCTACGCCTGCCCCCTCCAGAAGCTCCCCAGAGAACGACTGCCTGGTATTGAATGCCCGATTCGCACTTGCGCGGGACACACGGGATTCCAACGAACATAAAATTCCCACGACGAAGCATCACGAGACGCCGTCCTGTCCTTCACCCACAGGCTTCCCAGACATACAGGGCGACGACAGTTTCTCGAGCGGTTCTGCGGGACAGCACCCGGTAGCCACAGCCCGCAACGATCCCCGCCAATTGCTCCCTCGCAATCCCTCCCCTCTTCGTCCAGCGACGACGTCACCAGCGGCGCAACATCTCGCACTCGGCCACCGACTCCAAGGACCGGACAGCGCCCAGCCGCGCGCTCTTCTACGGGCGTCTCCCTCTTTTTCTTACATTACAAACACAGATCGACCTTTCTGAACCTCCGACACAATGGTGAGTGACAATACATGATGGTGGCCCCGCCCGACATGACGACGACGACGACGCTCCGGCATCGATCGGCGCTTCCCAGACGCATTCTGTCCCCTCGGCGGCCCCGTCCGTCCTGCACCACGTATGTCTCTTCCTGTATGAAAGCTTGGCCACTAACACGGCGGCCGTCCCCGCGCCCCCCGCAGTCCCAATCCCTCCGACCCTACCTGCAGGCCGTCCGCAGCAGCCTGACGGTCGCCCTCTGCCTCGGGGACTTTGCCTCGCAGACCGCCGAGCGCCACAACGTGCCCGAGATCGAGGCCGGCTCGTCGCCCGAGGTCCTGCTGACGCCGCTTGTCGTGTCGCGCAACGAGAACGAGCGCGTGCTCATCGAGGCCAGCGTCAACAGCGTGCGCGTCAGCATCAAGATCAAGCAGGCCGACGAGATTGAGCAGATCCTGGTGCACAAGTTTACGCGCTTCCTGACGCAGCGCGCCGAGTCCTTTTTCATCCTGCGGCGCAAGGCCGTCGACGGCTACAACATCTCCTTCCTCGTCACCAACTTCCACACCGAGCAGATGCTCAAGCACAAGCTCGTGGACTTTATCATCCAGTTTATGGAGGAGGTCGACAAGGAGATTTCCGAGATGAAGCTCTTTGTGCGTGGTCCCTGTCGTTTCTCTTCGTCTTCTGTCCCTGCATGGACCGCCTACTGACTGACCGTGGCAGTTAAACGCGCGTGCGCGGTTCGTCGCCGAGTCGTTCCTGACACCAGTACGTACTTCCTCTTCACGACAGGCCCCACGCATGGCGTACGGCCACTTACTAACCCTTGTTTGTCAAGTTCGATTAAACAACTTTTTTGCGGCCCTCTTCACATCCTCTCTCTCGTTCTCCCGCTTACCGATAGAACGCTTCGTTGACCGCACCGCGCGTGCATCGACTGCCGCCTGCTTTTACCTATCTTCATACTTTTCCAAAATACAATACTCTCTTCTAGTCTTTTCAGCTAAAAAACAAAGAAAAAAGAAAAAGAAACCAATGCTCCAATTCAAAAACTGTCTAGTCGTTGTCATGCCACTCCATACCCTTACGTTACTTTCGTATCACTGACGAGGTGGGATGGGTGGATACGACGAACCAAAAAAGCTGTGTGTACAACACAATTGTATCTCGGGATTTTCAACTTCTCCTATGCTACGACGTACAGTACAACAAAGTCAAAATGCACCGTCAAACAAACGGCTGTAGGCAGTTGATCTTTTTCAGAAGAGGATTGTATTGTGGTTTTTTTCGTTTGTTTTACTTGATTTTCCTGGTTTCCGTCACTTTTCTCTTCCTGGCCCCTAGTCTCCGGTTCTTTCTTCTTACTTGCTATATAAGAATGGATATATATATGTATAGGTTGGTGTGGATGACAAACAAAGATACTATATGGAGAGTGGATGGGATATGCAAGAAGGATGGTAGCAACGAAAAAGAACAAGGGATGGTGAAGTGACCGACGGGGTGTAAAATATGCAACAACAAGGCAGCAGAAACCAAAAAAGGTAAAAGCATCAATAACCAACCGTGAACAGCACAAAACGCAAACCTGGTATGCCAAAAGCCAAGACTCGACGGACAACACAACGGGGAAGAAGGTGTGGGGTTGATGACGGGAGTATGAAGTATATCTTTTTTTTCGTCCCTCTTTTCAAAAAAAAAATGGGGGACATGGCGAGAATCAAAGAATAAGAACGGCAAATCAGCGAGTTGCTGTTGCCTTTATCCTTGGTTTCCTGTGCAGTATCTTTTTTTTGGATTTTTGGTTCATTTCGCGTCAAAAAGGGGGCACAAAAAAGGACGGACACGTCAATGCAGAATATACAGTGTCCCAGTGTCCAATGCTCAGGTATATTTATGTGGTTCATTTTGTGCCCACCATTGCCGTTCGAAGGTCTTGGCTCGGCCGTTGGTGAGAGAGGCAGGGGGGGTTGAGATGGAATGGAGGCGTGAGGAATGAGCAGAGTACAAGCTTTCGTCTAGCTCGGCGGGGCGGTGGCGGTCGAGGCACCGTTCTCTGCAAGCAGCTTCTGCTGCTCGTTAAACAGCAGCTGGGCAGCCTGTGCTTCCCGGTCGGCCTGCGCGTAGACAGACTCCATGACAGTCCGCTCTTCGGCTGAAAGGTGGCCGACAAGACCCTGATAGAACTGCGGCTGGTCACGTTCGAGTTCTGATTAATTAGCACAGGCGTCCAAAAAATGCCAAACGAAAGCCTAGGGGTTGCAAACATACGTGTGATGGCGCTGCGGAAGAGCTGATAAGGCTCAATCTTGTCGAGGGACGACTCGAGCAGCAAGCTCTCCTCGCCGAGCTCGTCGGTGGAGTCGTTGTGGCTGCGAAGGCGCTCAATCTTCTGGGCCTCCTCGCTGAGGAACTCAATGTACGCCGTGTTCTCGTCCTTGGTCTCGGCCGTGGGGTCCGCGGGGCCGTCCTCCTCGACCCAGCCCTCGTCGGCGTCGTCCCACTCGTCATCGCCGCCGCCGCCGGCAAACTGGAAGTCCTCCTGGAGTGCCTCCTCACGATCTACAGGGGGAGAGGGAAACAGTTAGCAAATTAATCACATCGTATTATATGTTGCGGGGGGAGCGCGGGGTGGACGCACTCTTAATGGCGCTGGGCAGCGTCCGGAACATGGCAACGACACCCTTGAGCAGGCGCGGCCAGCCAACAGATACGCTCGCAGGGATGCTGCTGGGCGGCAGCGAGAGCAGCGCCACGATGGCCGAAATGCACAGCTTCTTGTCGTGCACGCGGCTGAAGACGTCCATGTTGCCGAACCACATGGTGAAGAAGCGGTTTGTCCAGCCAATGGCCTCGAGCTCCGCCAGCGCGAGCACGGGGCTGTAGTAGATGGCGCTGATGATCATCTCCATCAGGTGCACGCGGTACGAGCGCGGGCTGACCTGGTGCACGGAGGTGGCGGCACCCGTCGCCAAGAACGCCTCGCTGGGCACAACCGAGCCGTCGGGGCCGACGGTGCCGCCTGACAGACCGGCAAGGGCGAGGCGGATGAAGCGCGACACCACATCGTCAATGGCACCGGGCAGGCTGACCATCATGGCCTCGGCCAGGCGGCAGGCGCACACACGGTCGGAGCCGCCCACCTTGGGGTCGGCAAAGAGCACCTCGACCATGGAAAAGAGGGCGTCGATGCGCGGGCGGTTCTGGCGCAGGTGCTCGGCACCAAACTGGACAAAGTTGTCGAGGGCGGGCAGCATGTCCTCGAGGTAGAGCTCGGCGCCGCCGTTGAAGGTGACGTGGAACAGATCAAAGGCCTCCCACATGACGGGCGAAATGCTCTTGGCGGAGAAAGTGCAGCTATCAACAATCTCAAAGACCTCGTTGAACAAATCGTAGAGGCGGTTCTGCAGCGTGACGCGGATGACGGGCATGATGACGCTCTCGATGTGGTGCAGCACGTCGGGCATGTTCTCGAGGGTGAGGATCAGGGTGCCAATGGTCTGCAGCACACCGAGGGCCGTGATGCTCTTGTCGTCGACAATCTCGTTGGCCTCGGCATCGTCGTCCAGGCGGCTGGCGCGGTCGAGCAGCTCGCGGATGATGCGCAAGTACGTCTCACGCAGCTGCTCGCTGAGAGCGACAGCGAAGGGGGTCAGCTCCTTGGAGAACACCTCGACGAAGTCCTCCATGACGTTTGCCAGCGCATCGACGTCGGCCTCGTTGGCGAGCTTCAGCAGCTGGCTCATGATGGTGGGGATGTTGGCGCGCATGTGGTCGCGGATGGCGTCGTGGCGGATCAGGGGCTGCAGGGCCAGGGCTGCGGTTATCCGCACGGGCAGCTCGCTGTCGGACATGCAGTCGATGATTCTCTGGTAGACAGTGAACAGGTTGGCGGGCTCGCGCCAGTCGAGGGCCTCGAACTTCTCAATGGTGTCGCAGGCGCGGGCACGCAGGATGCCCTTGTCGCTGGAGAAGTCGGGCAGGACGTAGCGCACGAGGAACATCTCGACCTGCTCGGCGATGGGGCTCTTTTTGCCGAGCAAGATCGGGGCGAGGGTGCCAATAAGACGCAGGGCACCGTCCTTGGCCACGTAGTTCTTCTCCTCGGGCGTGGCCTGCTCGTACGTGTTGACAATGTTATTGACAAACTGGAGAATCTCAAACACCTGCTTGCGGCGGGTCTTGGTCAAGCACACCAGGAAGTTGGTGGCCGAGACGTCGGGCGAGGACACCTCTTCGTAAAAGTTGAGCTTGCGGTGCAGGTACTCGTCCGGCTCGTCGGTGAAGGTGGAGATGTCCTCCTCGGACAGGCACAGCAGGGGGAAGAGCAAGTGGGTGAGCAGGTTGGGCAGGTGCGGCTGCAGATGCGGCCACATCTCCTTGGGCCGGATGCACTCTTCAAGAAAGACAACGGTGTACGACAGACAGACGCGGCTGAGCCAGATCTGGCGGGCCACCCACTTCTCAATCTGCTGCAGGTAGACCTTGAGGATCTCGGGGGCGACGTTGGCGGTAAACTCGTTGGCAAAGGCGACCTGGTCGCGGACGTCGGCAGAGAGCGAGTAGGTGTTGCCGTGGCGCATGAACAGGCGGTTGAGGTTGAAGTAGGCCCACTTCTTGGCCTTCCACCAGTGGTGCTTCTCGCGGTCGGCCGGGTCCTCGGCCAGTGAGCAGGCGGGTGGGTCTTTGGAGACGGTGCGCAGGAAGACGGTGCACCAGGCGAGGTTGTCGGTCTTGAGGCGCTGTGGGAGGTCGAGCCACGCGGCCTGCTTGTAGATCTTGAGGGCATAGTGCAGCATCTCGCCGGCTTCCTCGCTGTCGAGCTCGAGCAGCTGCTGGCAGAGGCTGAGAAGGTGGGGGAAGGCAGCTTCAACAATGTTGGTAAGCTCGTCGCGGCTGGCGCCCCCGGATGCCTTAAAGCGGTATGTCCTGCACACGGACAGCAAGCACTGGATGCCGGCCAGGACGCCTTGTGCGTTGTTGGTCGACAGCAGCTGCATTGTGTACTCCATGTAGGTCGGCCATTTTGCTGGGTAGTCCCAGTGCAGGATTCGCTGGAGGAGAGGCACGAGCTGCTGGCGCACGATGCTGGATGCGGAGCCCAGGATGGGCAGAAGGCGGTTGCGGACCTGGGTCTTTTCGTCTTCGGTCAGGAGGCGTTCGTCGGGGTAGACGTCGACAAAGGTCCATGCGCGGTTCACGCGGTTCTTGACGTAGATGGCAGCTGTTTTGGGGCGGAAAGAGCAGGTGTTAGAAGCCAAGACCAGTCCAGAGTCGCATGCGATTGTACAGCACTTGTCAGTCAGGGAGAGGGGGCGTTTGGAATATGCGTACCAGAGAGCTGAACATTCTGGCTCTGCTCGGTTTCGAGGATCGTGAGAAGGACACCCGTGAAACCTTCAATGGCCTCGGCCTAGAGTGTGACGAGAACAACGTCAGCGAATGGAGGCGTGAAGCTGGGCTTTTGCCGCCGAGATACCCAAACAGAGGTGCCAGAGCAGCATTGCCAAAGCAACGCGAAGGGCAGCCCAGAATGGCGGAGCCGATGCCAACATACCTGCTTTAACTGAGCCTCGGCCGACTGGCGGACATTGCCATCGGCGTCGAGCGTTGCGACAATCCAGCTCTTGATGCTTTCAACGTCCAACGACATGTCGGCGGGCTGTGTCGCGCGTTGCGACGTGCTGATGGGAGGTTGGCTCGAGGGCGGCGGGCGCGCAGGTGGTTTGTCGAAGGGACAATGGGCCGACGGAGGGGTGCGAAACAGCTGCGAGCCGGACCGCCGACAGGAGACCCAGTATGGGATGGGTTAGAAGGAACGGAATAGACGCTCACGGGAGCGGTACG